TCTGTTTGGTCAATTTATGGTTCCACATGTTCAATCCAAGATGTCTATGATTTGATTGATCAGTCTACTCGTCCAAATTTTTCAATAGCCTGCCCAGTTGATTCTACATGCAATGGGTAATATTTGATAATCACCATGGAGGCCACCAGTATGGGCTACCGCGGCAGGTATAATACACGTGAACAGCTATTAATAGACCTACTGCGGTGGGGGTACCTCTTAGGTGGGTTTCTGCCATACAAAATAACCCACCTAAGAGGTCCCTCACGTGACCTCCACGGAGGGTCCTGAGGTGAGTGCTGCAAGATCGCAAGACCGCAAAGTCAGAGATGGTTCCCACAAGATCACTCGTTCGACTCTGGCTGGGGGCTTTAATTATGAAAATTGAAAAGCTTGCGGGCATCACACGGTTGTCATAATTTTTTGGAGGACTCCTCACGACTCTCACAGCCCTCTTGTCTCTTATCGCTACATTTTTCAAAAGGTTTTGCTCAGATTTTCTTACATTTTGACCTTGTGAGCTTGTGTGGTGGCTGTGCCACAAGGTCACAAGGCCCGAAAGACCGCAAGATTTTTGTCAAATGGCTGATGCAGTACCACCTGGGGATCGACTTGAATCGGGCATGTGTATGTATGTGGGTACCAAAGGATGGGATGGACGGACCTCGCTTTTGAGTTCCTTTAATGTTGACAGTCCAATACGTGAGTGCCTGTGTGCGGAACAAATGGAGTTGTTGGGAAACACCGCCCTACAAGGTAACAATTTTGGATTCGTGGTCCAAATAAAGTTTCAAAGGCAGGTTCTTCGGTTCTTTGGAAGGAACCCAAGGAGATCCTTGTTGTAACGGAGAGCACATCCCGATCTATCACGATCCAGGCATGTTCAAGACGTATGTATGCGGTGTCAGGTGTCTGTTGATGAATTCTGGCGCGTTTTGTGGCCCAGTGCGCCGGAAGGTCGGGATGGTTCAGGATGATACGGTTAACAGTTTTGGACAGAATTTGAATCAGCCGCGAGAAGATCGCCCGATTCATGAATGTCTATTGTGAGTCGGTCCCAGCTGGAGTTGCGTTTTTCTGGCTGAAGCACCCAGTTTCGAGCATGGTAAAGCTGTCAAAAAATCGACATCACATAACGACTGTTGACTTGCGGGAAGGCAGGGTGTTTTGGTTAAGGCCAAATATGCTCAGAGAGATCCAAACCGAGACTGATTCTTGGACAAAAGTATCGACCCTATCTGGTAAGTAGATTGACGGAATTTTAACCACTCGGTTACTTATGGAATCGTACCGAACGCCCCAGATCATACGCGGTGGGGGTCGCTGGGCGATCCCTTGGAGTGATGCATTTTTTGAGATTGCTGCCGTACATGCCATGGCGTCGAGAAGAAAAATAAAGGTCCGGGAACTCTGACAGGTTTGATCCACGGCAAGGGAAGAAATCGGACGACGAAGTACCACCCAAAAAAGAACTGTCGTAAGTTGCTGCCGTACATGCCATGGCGTCGAGAAGAAAAATAAAGGACAGGGAACTCTCACAGGTTTGATCCACGACAAGGGAAGAAATCGGACGACGGAGTGCCACCCAAAAAAGAACTGCCGTAAGTTAGGAACAGGTTATCAGACGCCATACTTTCTGAGACATTCGGTACGGCAGCGGACATTGGTCGTCCTCTGAAAGGTTTGATTTGGGTCTGACTTGGGAGCAGGAGTGCTTTCATGGATCCTAAAATTAGGGCAGGCCTGCCAGTTATAAAATGGTTGATCAGGCCGTGGCTCCCTCAGCCACTACCAACATGTGCGACACCATCAACACATCCTCTGCTCTATCCTCAACCACGTTCCTCATCTCAAGCAACATCTTCCCCTACCTCAGTCTGGGGCTTGTGTCCGCATCCTTCATCGTTTACGTCCTGCAATATTGCTGTCGCTCTGCGGGACTGGACCGACTCAACGACACTATCACGATTGTGGACGAATCGTTGAATCACGCGCGAAGGCGAACTGCGGGCGGGATTATCTCGCCTTGGCCGAAATAAACACTCGATTCCTCAGGTAGGAGCCATTTTTGTCTTTTCCACATGTGTGAACCTAAATGCCATGCCAGAACCAAGCTGACTGCCTCCAGACTCCACACCCGCTTGTTGGAGGCGCGCAGCTTTCCAGGCTGGAAGGATTATGCGCAGACCATAATGGCCGTCTCACTTCGCCTTCCCGCGCTCCGCCGTGAGGTTCGGGATGTGCATACATCGGCGCTGGTGCGTGTTCTTCGAACAAGTCTCGCGCCCATTCTTCCCCGCTCACTGCAGGATGTCATTAGGTCCTCATTGAGGCTGCCCACCAACGCAAACTCACAGAAGACATAAAGGAGAGCCAGGAGACCATGGATGCGGCGCTGCAGTCGCAAGATTCCTGTATGTGCATGTTAAATGATCTTTTCATCTGAGATTCGAATATTTATTCAGGGCGGGCTAGAGTTCAGCACCAACCTCACTATGAGGTTTGATGTTGGTTTTGGAGGGGCTTAGTACTTAAACCGTTGTTCACGTTGGGAGAAAGGCCGTTGATTGAGTTGGGATGCGTTCTGTGTCACGAGTTGTTTGTCGTGTTGTTCTTGAACCGTGTTTTTCGAATGCTTTCTTGAATACTCTGCAGTGTAAATGATAGTCATGAAGTTCAACATTCAAGTTGATTCATCTAGCCGGGGCAACTGTCCATGTGATCTTAGCACGAATTGCAGTGGAATTACTATACTGTACAATGTCATTCAATTCGGAGCAACATTGGGCTCTCAGTGAACTAGTAAATTCTTATTAAACGCTCAGAAGTATTTATCACAGAAAAATTTGTTGCATCTCTTTCTCCACGTTATCCCAGCTCTGCAACTCCTAAACAACGCAGTCCTCGAAAATTACCATATTCGGCTTCGGGCGGTTATCTATTTGTGCGTTTCATCCGAATCAAACAATGCCGCGGCGGCCATCAGCCAACGCGTCCTTGACTTCCTTGAAAGTGAAAGCAGGAACCACCCTCGCAGTATGATTTGGCCAGTCTTGCCTATCTTTATTGCTGTATGCCACGTACGTTATTTTTCAACCTCACGAATCGCACTTGTACACACCGCCTAAGCGAGGCACGAGTGACTAAGTACTAATTCTACAGCGTCTGTCAAAAGAGACTAAACACCGCCCATTCCCCGGCGAAAAAGATTGTAGATATTTTGCAGGCAGATGCCGGGACTTGAACCCGGTTGCGTTGTTACGAGACTTCTCTAATCAAACCAAAGGCAGCTGTAATCATCTGCCACACCCGATTTTATACTATTTTTGATCCCCTAGCTGGCCGCCTAAGCTTTCATGCTTAGTCCTTCCCCTCTGTAGTGCGCCGATGCAGTCGGAACCATGTCAGATTGAAGGCATATGTCTCCCGAACAATTCAAGCCCATTTTCATCAAAATATCGGTTGAATTGATGCTGCAGTGAATTTATTTCCGAGGCGAGTCCAACATGACCAAATAACCGGCTAGCTGGCCACCCGACAGATTAATCCGCTGGGCCCTGTTAAGAGCGGCCAAATCCCTCGGATATCATATATAAGAGACATATGAACCATTATATAGTGCTGAATAGTAAATATGCACTGTATTGTACCTTGAAATATCACTGTCTGTCAGCAAGGAAACCCCCAAAATGGTGGTTTTTGACCAAGTGAGGCTATTATCCGAGCAGAAGTGCGTATCAGCCGGAAACAAGGTTTGAATGGTTTAATGGCACGTATTAGGACATAGCTAGACACTAAGCTTCATCCCAAGCTGCTGAAACCCCTCCCAAAAATTCCGTCTTTGGGTCATTGCCAATTCGGGTGGTTTGGGGTAAAAGCCTACGGTGGGAATGGAGTCGTGCAGTCAAAAATTCAGAATGCATCTCAGAATAAGCTACATGGTGCTGAGATGCCGTATGACAAGCTCCGGAGCAGTAGCATTTGGGTGTCCTGCAGTGTAGGGTCGACCGGCATGAGCAAGCACAAAGAGGTAGCGGCACCGTGTTAGGCATGGGGTGGAGAGGACACAAGCTTATGGAGGTCGAGCAATATGTCAGATGAATTTGAGGCATCGGGGGATCATAACGAGCCCACAAAGTCGCGGAACAACCGGGAATTGGTGCAGAAACGGCCAAGACAAGAGCGGCCGGCAGGGCCAAACATAAGAAAATGATGTTCTCACCCTTCGGATCGAACTCCGACATGCCATAACTTTTGGATCAACGCATCATTCCGCCTCCAAATTTGGTCTGGACCGTCATCATACATTGTACTTTGATCCCCCATTCGCAGCCAGTTGAAATTATTAAGCATGGGGCCTAAAACTCTCAAGTGGCCAGCTAGCTATAGTGGCCAGCTAGGTGGTCCCAAATAGTACCAGGTTGGGTCCTTTGTTGAACCGGGCTTTTTTCAGAAGCACCAAACCTTTTGGGCAAAAATACGAGTTCGACTTTAAGTATACTTTGGTCATTTCATTTCATAACCGACTATAAAATTCCAATCGCCCATGCAAAAACTTTGCCCCAATATGCGTCTGGCCGGCGTCGAACCTGGTTCTGCTTCTTCCATGTTTCATCGAATATATTCAGAAACTGGGAATCATCCATCATACCTGCTTTCATATCAGGCCTGAGTCCGTCGCTGAACCGGGGATTCATGAGTTAAAACCAAGGCCCACGCTCATAATACTTAACGAGGGAGCTGAACCCGCTTATAGTGCTTTCCAAGAACAGATGGAGAGCAACGATGGACCGTCCACTAACCCCGCGTTGATACAGGCCTGGCTGGGTCCGTCGGTGAGCCACTCGCTTGTTTTAAAAAAAACAAGAACCACACCTGTAGTGCATGATTTAGTTGAAACCCACCTTTACAGCAAAGCAATTACTGTTCAGAAGTTCAGTAGTACCCGCAATCGTTATCAGCGCAGACCTCGAAAAAAATAATTACTTTGCCCAAGCGCACGCGGATGCCGGGAATCGAACCCAGTTGTGCTGCTTCAAAGTCGAGAGTCTGCGCGTGACTGACAGCAGCTGTGAACCATTCACCACATCCGCATTTATAGCATACCTCTGCCCTCCTTACATGTCTGTTCAATATTGAGGATCAGTTATGTGCGTGGTGGATTTAAGTTGTTGTTATTGTGCAATTGTGAAGTGCAGCAGTACAGATTAAACCAATTTACAAGTCGTCTTTCGCGAATTGAATTATTTACTTGAGGAAAGGACTTGGGTGTCTGCATGAATTCTGTGAGATTGTACTCGTACAAAGACTGTGAGAGCAGTACTGCTCACAGCCCTTAGATAGATTTACTTTATAATCCATGATAGCTTCGTCTACTTCTCGACATTATCTCACTTTAATATCTTCCAAACCACGAAGCCATCGAAAATTACCATATTCAGCTTCGGGCGGAGAATTATTTGCGCATTTCATCTGGATCAAACAGCGCAGCGGCGGCCATCACTGCATCAGCCAACACGTCCTTCGTTCCTTCGAGTTTCTCCAAACATTTTATTCGCTCTTTCTTCAATCTTGCGTTCAAAATTCGATGTCGAGCCCCTCAAGCTCTGCATCCGATGCCTCCTTCATCCTCGTTGGCGGCGAGGCCCAACCACGCGTTGCGCTGAAACTCGGTGCAAGTGGCTCTGGCTTTTATTCTCAATAATTGTATTTGCTGCTAACTTTATGTGCGATTTGTAGCATGCGCAGTATGTGTTGGAGGATCGCGTTCTCTTGTGCATTGTAGGATTTTCCCGCCGCAAGTGCGCCAATTACACCTTTGTTGTCGGAACGCAAACTGAAGTGGGCGTTTGTGATCCCTGCTGCGACTAGGGTGCGGAGCGCTAGTTCTATCGCAACCATCTCCCCCCATCCGATACATCTACCTTCCGAAAGCCAGCCCTCTTTGTATTGCCATGCCAGCCACTTGCCGCGGAAGACGAAACCGATTCCCCAGCTTGTAGAGGCGTCGACGAAAATTTCATCGTGCTGGATGGGGGGAGGCAAGATGATGCGGAGGGACACCTTGGGTTCGGAGAGGGTGCGCCGCCACCATTCCGCGTCCGACGCGACGTCCGGTGGTACTTTGAATGATGTGAATGCGGAGGCGCCCGAATTGAAGGACGCGCCAAACCGGAAGAATGATACGAGCCGCGAGCGGCCCTGAGGGACGATGAGCGCGCAGTGGATGAGCGTACCCGCGATGTCTTCAACATCCTTGCGGCGCATTTTTGCTCCCTCGAGCCAGCTGGCTAACTTCTCCAAGTATTTGAGACATTTCTTATCGGGAAGAGTCACCGTGCGCGCCTCGATGTCCCAGTCGAATCCAATGTAAGTGAACAAATGGGAGAACGGGGTGTGTTTCTCTGGCTCCCACGGCCACCCGAGGTCTTCTGCAACTTCGAAGAATATCTTCTCGTCGTACTTGTACACGAAACGGCTGCCAGTCTTGCCTTTGGGATACCGGAAGAAAACGAAATCGTCAACCCATTTCAGGATCTCGTCGATAGACATGAACTTCAGGAGGTAGACGAGGAGGTCGGCTAGGTGTCCAAAAATACCCGGTGCACTACGGGAACCGAAGCTGAAACCGTTGTCAAAGAAGACCTGCCCGTCCCAGGACATCATGAGGAGGGGGTGGTCTTCGGGGTGAGTGGGAACGGTGCGGAACGCGCTCTTGACGTCAAAAACGGAAGCCTGTAGTAAGTGCGTTAGAGTTTTCCGACATGCCCCGACTCTGCGTGGTGAACGTGCCTCGGTGCCCTCGGGAGCTCTTGCCAAGATAAGGTAACATTGCGCGAAGGAGCCCCAGTCACAGGGGAAATCGTCCTTGTTGATGAGCGAATTAATAGACAGAACGTCGGGGTTGTTATACGGAAAGGAATGATGGTTGAACATCCTCCATTTACCGTGCGGCGGGTCTTTTTGTACGCAACCGACGGGTGAGCAGCGGAACGGTCCGATGAGCTTTTCTAGTACAAGAGGGTCGTATCCTTGGGAAATGCGGCCAAGTGCCTGCTCTTTCAAGATGTATTTGCTGATGATGTCTGGATGTTCCAGCGCTGACTGGAGATTGTCGGGTATAAAAACTTGTGTAACGCGGTGCGATTCTAGTATGCCGTGCCGAAAACCGTTGTGGATACCTTCCGGAATATCCCCGAACTCCACCATCAGCCCCGCCTCCGCAATCCGCCGTTCCCAGCGGTCCACTTTCAGCGGCGTGACTATGGGGAAGAGTTCACGCCGTTGGGCATCGCTGAGCGGAGTGCGCTCCAGCTGGACGACCTGGTGCGCCGCCGCCGCAAAGGGTGCAGACGTGGGCGTACGTGCATGCCTTGGCGTTACGACGTTTCGGGTTCGGGCATCCTGGGCCGTTGAAGTCGTAGCAGATGCGCATGTCTTGGATCGGTGTCTGAATGAAGCGTCCATTCGGTGGTCTGAAAGCCCACTTCCCAGGTGTGTGGCAGTGTTTGTGCATGTGGTCGCATTGACCGCAGAGAAGGCAGCGGAGGGCCCCCGCGTCTCCCGCGGCACCGCCTCTGGCTTCGCCGTTTTGCTGACGTTGCTGAGGACGTTGGTGCGGTTGCTGCGGTGACTGCTGTTGCTGATACACGCACTGCTGCTGCTGCCTCTGCTGGCCACCCCGGTCGTCATTCCGAAAAGACTGCAGGGGCGGGAAGTTCGCGAAAAACTCCGCTTGCTGCCTATTCAACAGCTCCTGGTTGTGCTTGCGGCATGCCTCGTTCCAGTGTTCGATCTGCCAGATCGACAGATTGAAATCCGCGTTGGCTACGAACGCAACGAGGATGGCGGTGTTATACATCGCGATTCTCGGAAATAACTTTTCGTCAAAGAATTCGGGACGGTTGCGTAAGTTTTGGAAATGGATGGTGAGTTGGTCCGCTATAGGCGACGCGTGTTCCAGCGGGCGAAAGTATTGACAGACTGCCTTGACGAGGTTTTCTCCCGCCATCTGGAAGTCCAGCGCTTTCAGACGCTTGTCGACCGAATGGTCGATCGTCTTGTTACTGCTCTCCCACGCCAGCATACCTTCCGCGTTGAAGACCGGTACTCTGTCGTCACGGGAGTCTCTCGTAACATTGGCGGATGAGCACTTTGCCATGGTAATGTCTGCCATGGGAAAGGCGCGTGTCCAGCCTCTGCCCAGAGCTGTCCGGATGTGTAGCGGCGGTAGGAAAGTGACGAGGGGGATCTGGTGTTCATTGGAGATGCGCACCACTCGTTCGGGTACCGAGCTATCCGCGAAACCGGGCATTTGGACAAATTTGGGAGTGGCAGTGGGCGTCGCCTGCAGGAAGCGCAGCAGAGGACCAAAGTCTAACGCTTGCGTGGAGTAAGTAACTGATAGATACGGGAAACCTGGCGCGGAGGCGACGGTTGTGAGCGCGAAGGCGCATGTGCAGGAGGCACTCATGAGGAGCATGACTACGGGCACGGGATGAAAACCCGTCGCCCGGTGCAGCGTAGGTGCGAAAGACGCCGGCACAGAGGTGTGAAGGCCGAACTGAAGGTCGTTTGACGCGGAGGCGTCATGCGCATGATAGACGGAGGTGACGCTTACCTTGTGGGAGGCTGCCTGAGGCCGACAGCGTCGCCATGACCTCCGCTGCCCGCGTTGCCGCGATGGTGTCAGCACGCCGTTCGATGAGCGCCTCTAGCTGCTCGTGCGACACGGAGTAATTGCCTGTGACTGGGTCTTGCGTGAAGTCGGCTTCCGGCGCGGTGCGCGCTGGTGAGCTGTAGCCTTCTGGCGTCACCATGGGCTGGTCAGGCTGGATGTACTGCGACTCTGTGTTGAAGGAGACGCGGCGCGGACGAGTCGGTTTTGTAGGTGCATTCGGGGTTGCCCGCGACGTCTTCTGAGTGGTCGGTTGAGCCGTCGAGGCGGGCTGGCCGCCAAGAACTGCCTCCGCGTCCGCGATCATTTGCGCCGTGGGGACGGTGGGCCCCACCTTGCTACCTCTCGGCGCTGGTGTCTTCTTCGGCGTAGCCTTGCGGCCGCGCTTGGTCGGAGGCTTGGAGGCTTGCACTGGAGTTGTGGCTGAGGGGTGACGCTTGCGTGTGCGCAGCGTATACCTGGGCGCGTCGTCCGCGACCTCCTGCGCTAGTTTGGCTGCTTCCTCCAACGCCAAGGACGCTGTGATGTCGTTGGCCATGATCCTGTCGTTCGCCTCTTGTATGCGCCGGAGTTGTTCCTCCCTAGAAGGCGGCGGCATGGCTTTTTTCCCAGCCGTCGACTGCTTTGCCTTGATTGGTGACGAGTCATCCATGGCGACGTCGTTAGGCGGTGGTGACGAGGCGGAATGGACGGGCGCCCGCGGCGAGACGTTGTCGAAGACGCCGTTGGGCCCTTCGTCCTGCGAGTCCTCGTCAAGATCAAACTCGCCTAGGTCGTCCTGCACCACTTCCGGCTGGATGACCGTCTCCGACTCGAGGGAAGAAGAGTCATCGTCGTCGTCGACCTCGCTCTCAGGTCGCTGGGGCGATTCTGCACATCCTTTGCCTTTGGACATGGAAGGTATGCGTGCCGGCGACGAGGATTCCGCCGCCGGTACTTGGTCGCCTGCAGCCGTCCCCTCGACGATGGGCATCGGTGGGATCGGTGTTGGTTCGTTCGTTCGGGCAACCACTGGGCCGTTCTTCTTTTTCGGACCCATGGTTTTGCTCAGAAGGGCGGGAACTCGGCTCCTACGGATTCCGAAGAGTACGCAGGAATGCGGGAACAGCTAGAGAAAAGCTAGAGAAGTTCACAGAGGAGGGCCCGAGTTCGAGACGACGCGTCGTGAACGCGCTGAGCAAAACAAACTGTGTTTGTGTTTGCTTTGCATCGTCAGAACTCGGGCCGGTCTCGGCACGAAACCTCGTTTCACTCCGTTCGTACCTCTCTCCTCAAACCTTTCAATATCAGGCCTGGGTCCGTCGCTGAACCGGGGATTCATGAGTTAAAACCAAGGCCCACGCTCATAATACTTAACGAGGGAGCTGAACCCGCTTATAGTGCTTTCCAAGAACAGATGGAGAGCAACGATGGACC